ACCATGAAATTCCAAAAGGTTCACATACTTTTTCTTGCAACTGTATATGGAGACACCTGAGAGCAGTTTCTGAAGCAGCCTGTGAAGCTAGGAAAAGATGCAGCTGCTTTAAGGATTCAAAGAGAAGTGCTTCCTTTGTCTTTCCATGTGTTGCAAAAGATTGCTTCTTTCATGCCTTTCTGATATCTGGAACAGAGTGACCATCAAAGTTGGCATTATTCCTTACCATATTAAAGGTGGAATGCCTTTACTGAAAAAGATCCTACATAGATCTCAACTGGATGGCATTTCAACATGCCATGATGTGACAGTCCCTAGTCAGCTTTCTTTTTTAGGATCAGACTTTTATTTAGAAATGTAAGCCTTATTGCAGAACATAAACTATCCATCTGCAAAATTGCTGACCAGTTTAATGAATGAAAGTCATTTAGTTGAGGCATTCATTTTGATTGCCTAACTGTTTAAAAGGTCTTTTAGATGCAATAAACACAAATTATATTAATTGTGTGATTTATTGGCCCAAAGTTATTTAGCAGTGAATTTTTGAGATGTGGTGACTGGTAAAATTACTGGGTTTTGTGATCCCAATTCTTTTGTAAAAAATTTGCAGCAATAAAGGTTTCGATACCTAAGAGTTGTTATATTGCTTATTACTTTTCCATTGTTAATAGGTATGTGAATTTATTTTACATATTCATTATACTTTGCATTTCTTTTTAGGTCAGAACTAAAATCCTTTCTTTTGAGATTTATTTTATTTTGTCTTATTATTTTATTTACTATTACAGTGGAATTGTTTTTAAAACACCCATTCTAAACTCATTTCCTTTGTAATCAGTTGAGATCAGATTATTTTTAGGAAATATTCCACTACTTTAGAGAGATATATATCTACTTTTCATTGGAATGGATTTTTTTTTTCAGGAGCAGTTGGACATCACGGTGACAATTTAGCAGAGAAGATTCTCTCTATACTTCCCAAGTTACGAGGTCATACAAATGATGTGATGGTCAACATGGTGGAGCTCACAAGCCTGCATACTAATGAGACAAGCTACAATATTATAGCCCCAGGCTGCTTGGCACAACCAACGTAAGACTGCATGTCAGAAATATGGAGTGGGGTGGGGAATGGAGGAGAGGGGATGGTTATCAGGATATAGTAATCAGAAGTCAACCTTGATTCAAAATTCTTTACTTTTACTTTAGTGTGAGAAATGTGTGCTTGGAAGTATTTTTAATATGTGGATTCCCTTGCTAATTGAAACCTCAAATGCATGCATCTGCATTGTGATTCTGACTATACTTTATGCATTTGTTTGCTAGAGATTTCATGTTTCTTATAGATCGGATTGATCATTTCATAATTTGAACACTGCTGTGGGAGATAGTTCCTAAAATGTCAGAAGCAAGCAACCCAAAAGTAGACTAATTCATGTTAGCTCTTCAAGGTGGGCAGGGTGAAGGAATAGACATGGCAAGGGATTCCAGGAATTGTTTATTGTTGTAAGGTATATTAACAGAATTTTGAAAACAGGTCCAAAACCTTGTCCACTGCCTCTCTCCTTTATCCTCATATTTCTCCCTTGTTTGGTTAACTTTCTGCCTCACATTCTCATAAGGAGGTGCCCAGTTAACCCTTTGCTTATTTTTGTAGAATGCAAGCAGTTTACCACTCCAGCGCACAAGGTTCCATAGTTCTATCTAGATAAGCTTGGAAGAATCCTGTATCTTGAATCTGGAGCACAGTTGCAGCTAGCACAGACAATACTTAGTTAAATGCTCCAGTTGTCTGGTGCATAACAGTAGTGCAGAGATGTATTGAGTGCCGAAATCATGCTCACTATGATGCTTGTTGCTTGTTCTTTATCCAAAGAGAAAGGTTGACTTTGTAGGAAGAGCAGCCTCGGCCAAATGCAGGTATTAAATGAGGTGATGATAATGATGACATGAATTTGTGAGAACAATGTCTGTGCAGACTGGCTGAAATAATTGGGAGCATCTTCCTTCTGATTCTTTCTGATATCTGGAACAGAGTGACCATCCACTCTACCATCAAAACAGCTGGAGTTTGGATGATGGTGAATAATTTGGTCTGCTTCCTGAACCAAGCTTTGTTTTAATGCTAGATCCTCAAATGCTATGTCTGCAATAAGTTATGCCAAACATAAGGCTAATACTATTGATAGGGAGTGCCCTTGCATCTATGACAAGTCTTCCAGTACTGTGATACAGAATTTGGCAACTTCTGATCCCATAAAAGAAGAAACTGCAGATAGTGACTAGCTGAGTTGCCTTAAAATCATAACATAGAGGTATGTTAAGTAAAAAGTTGTTACTGTCTGAGATCAAGAGAAGAGCAGATATCAAAGAAAGGATGAGAAAAAGAAATGGGTACTTAAAGAAAGGAGAAAAATCGGTGTAAAGAAGCAGCAGATTGGGGAAATAAGAGCAAAGGAAAGGCTGTTGAGAGGAGAGATCTTTTCTCATCTGGTATCCTTCTGATCTGTCACACTATATAATGCCTATCATTTCTAGTCAACATGGCCAATGAACATGAAGGCTGGAGATGTGATTTGTAGCTCAAATCATGTGAAATGTGTAAGATTGGGTAAGATCGTTAGAAGAAAGATGGGACTGGTAGAAGATGATTGCAAGAATTCTAAAAGGGTAAAGAAGTCTGAGAATATGTGGGAATTCACAAGACCGGCAAATGAAAGTTTAAAGTTCAGATATTAATAGAGGTGAATATGTGTAGCTCAGGGTTGAACTGTGGAGTGCTTGGGGTTCTCTGAGCTTGGTTCTTTTCTTGCAAACGTTTCATTACCTGGCTAGGTATAATAGAGGTGAATATGTGTAGCTCAGGGTTGAACTGTGGAGTGCTTGGGGTTCTCTGAGCTTGGTTCTTTTCTTGCAAACGTTTCATTACCTGGCTAGGTAACATCTTCATTGCTAACATGAGATGGGGTTTGCTCACTATTTATGTGCTGTGGCCTGCCTTGCCAGTGCTGGTGGGGGTGGGGGTTTTGTTTTGCTCCTCTGGTAGCATATGTTTACTGCTTGATTGTGTGCCTCGTGGTAACCTTTGCTTATCTGGTTGATAATTGCTGGTGATTGCTTGCTGGTGAGGCGATCTTCTGGTCTTTTATCTCTTTTGAATAGTGTGTAGATGCTGTTTATCTCTGTGTGTCTGTTATTTGCTGCCTTGTTTGAATACCAGGCTTCCAGAAATTCTCTTGCATGTTTGGATTTAGCTTGGTCTAAAATGCTGACAGTTTCCCAGTTAAAACTATGATTCAGTCTGTCCATGTGTTGTGAGATTAAGGAGTTCTCATCATGTCTTCTGACTGCTAGTTTGTGCTCGTAGATGTGCTCTGCTAGTCTTCTTCCTATCTGTCCTACATAGTGTTTGTTACAGTCCTTACACTGTATGTTGTAGATGACTCCTGTTTTTTCTTCTTGGGCTACTGGGTCTTTTGGTTTACTTAGGATATTTTGGAGTGATTTTGCTGGTTTGTGTGCTACAGAGAGGCTATATGGTTGTAATAGTCTGTTGATGGTTTCTGAGACATTTCTGATGTATGGCAGTGTGATCCTTTTCATAGCTTGTGTAGATTGGGTTGAGTGGTCAGGCACTTATTGATAAAATTACATGGATATCCATTTTGTTGGAAGATGTTGTATAGGTGGTCTTTTTCCTTTTTCTGCTGTTCTGGATTGCTCGCTTGAATAATATTCTTACACATCTCCTCTTGTGGGAGGTTGGGTTGTTACTTTGGTAGTGGAGTACTTGATCGAGAAACCCGATAAACTTGGGTTTCTAATTTACTGTTGTTTCCTCTGCTGACAAGGATATTCAGGAAGGGTAGTGTGTTGTTGTTTTCTTCCTCTCTGGTGAATGTTATTCCTTTGAAGATGTTGTTAAT